CTTCTCCAGTTGATCGTAATTCTGATTTTGAAACCGTGATGGCCGAAAGCGATACTTGTATGGCAACCGCGTCTCGAGCTCCATGAGGTCCGCAGTAATCTGTGAATACTCGGACTGCGGTGACCAGGCAGGGAGAGTACTCGTGGATCCACGCCTATTTGCAAACCTGGCAGCTCTCTGCCAGATTTGACTTATTTGCACAACATACGCGAAGATGCCAAGGTCCGAGGGTTCATTAGATGAACTCCGCTGCTCCAGGGCCGCATCGGTCATCTGAGAGCTGGTACCTGCTGGAGGATCGGGTCTTTGGGGAAACCTCGGGGTCCTTTCATCCCGCACAGCTGAGAAAGTGCCAGTAGAAACTCCATAGAGATTTCTTAACAGCACCACGCTCCAGAAGCATCGGCGTCGCTCGTCGTCAACACGGTCATAGTCGGGTCTCCCGTGATCCGAAGACAGTCCTGAGGATGAAACAAGGTCCGTGGCCAGTGCAATATAAGTGCTTGCCCGGGGAGTATTTCCGTCTGCGGCGATCAGAAATTGCTGCGAGAGTCAAGTCTGAGCTGACTTACGATTGAATTCTCCAAGGCTCAGAAGGCACAATGCTTGGATCGTGGACAGTTCAACGGGCCCATAAGTGACCCGGCGCATTATTAGCTCTCTTGCCTGACTTGCCCAACGTTCGAACATGCGTACTAGATCCGCATCGCTGACAACGGGGTTTCCCATCTCAAAGCGCGACACGAGGGCTAGGATAGACAGCAATAGCTCGGGATCTCGCGAGCTGAAAGTCGCCATCAGGACCTCAGGGGAGAACAGCGGGAGTGGCTGGCAGTTGCAATGTTGGAGGTATAGCTGGACGAAATCACCCACAACACTCCAGGGTGGAAGTCTAGTTGTGTTGTAGGCTGAGCATAAGCCAAAGCAGAGCGCGATTGGGTCAAAATGTCATACCTGTCGCTTGGGGGCAACTCCGAGACCCGGGTGTCGGGATCAGCATGCGGTGAAGCAGTCTGATGCATTGTCGGCGGAACAGGCTGTATTACCGCACTGGGCTGGTGCCTCCTCATCACAGTCAGTGCCCCATGCATCGTCTTACCCTCGAATTTCGGAACGTACGGTAAGAGCTTCCACATTTCAGCGATCCGTGCTTCGAGGACCCCAAACCTCTCAGCCTATGGCCCACACGTCAGCCCATCAACCTCAATGGACGCCGGAGCACCGGTTCACCATGTCCTGGCCACCTTGAGGCGGAAGGGGATTAGCATGTCGTGCAGATGGGGTATTGCTCAGGTCTAGGCTTTGTTGGGTAGACGTGCGTCGATCAGGCGGCGCAACATAGGTACAATGCTGTCCCAGTCGCGAGCAATGAGCGCAGACCGGCCTCTCGCCTGTACATCGCGACTTCTTGCGGCTTTGAATATGGGTGAGCGAAATGACCTCGGTATCCAGTAACCAGGTCCAATGAGCTTACCGGCATGGTTCACAAGCCTGACGCGTGCGTTTAAGAGGTGTCTTTGTCTGGGCCACGTCCATCACCAGGCGTGGGTCAAGGTTTCGATCACTTGGTGAGTAGTGACAGCAGTTCCCGTGTCGATGTTAGCGGCCATCATGCTCAGTGTCATTGGATTGTATTTGTGTGGTGGTGTCTATCTGCGTACTGTGATGCGGACTGCATTATTGATTGTGTGCGCTACCGTAGCGGCGGAGCAAATGAACCACAGTAGCACGTTTGTTCTGATTGGCCGCCAACCCACCACCTCCCTTTCTCTCATCCGGATCTTCGCTTCACAATTCTCTTCATTCATGGCCTCGTGGTCATTATTCGCAGCTTGCCACGCACGCACTCCAAAGAAGGTTCTCATTCTTCTCTCCCCGTCTCAACCAAGACCAAAAACGCGTCAAGGGCTCGGCTGTTTCCCTGATTCTTTCGCTTGGCCATGCCTTTTGCGTGGCAAGATCAGCATCTCCGCATTCTGCCTCTGGCAAGCTTTCCCCATTGATGTCATTGTCGATCGTTCGCCGGTAGCCTTCGGCAGCTCTGCTTTGTGGTCTTCCAGCGCATGGCTGATGAATGGGTCTCTATAAAAGCCTGTCATGCATTTATTTTCCCAGGGTCTCAGTCTTTCTTGTAGATGAGCAGTATCCGCTTCTTGTGGGCCAAGGTAAATACACCGCAGACACTACTCACCATGCTCGCATTTTCTATTCTTGTTCTTGCATTCTGGCTACAGTCTTGCTGGGCTCAAAATTCATGTCCAGCTGTGACGCAGCACTTGACTGACCCCCCTTATGACAACTACTTCTACTCGGACTGCAACAGTGATTCGCAAGCCGTCGTCACCAGCCCACTTCCCGACTCAAATCTGAGTATCATCGGTCCTCGACTGATCATCGCCTGGCCGGCGGGCAACAGTGGTATTTGCACCTTTTTCCAACCTCAGAATGGCCCAAATGGGTCGCTGGCCATAGAACTTGTCAATTCTACTGTAGGATCTCCGTTGGGTCCCGTCTACAGAACGACTCAAGGCTCGGCAAACCCATTTGTTGGTGTACAGGGAATCATCTCGTTCAACACCTCGGCCACATTGACCATCCCAATATTGGGCAGTATTAGAACCATCCGAGACTTCACAGAAGGCCCGAGTCTGCTCCGTCCGATCATTCAGGATGCGATCAACATCACTAGATCGAATGGCACCGGAGCTACCCTCTCGCGACTGTGGCTAGACAATGTTACCACTACTACCTTCACCATGGTCGCGTACGAAAACCCGAGTTCCAACATCACAATTAACCAGCGGAATAAGACCATCAGCTTCGGCGCAGGGTTTTATTGGTTCTCTGCGAGCTTCAACTACCCGCAACTGACGCAGCTCCCTCCGAGCCGAGTCCTGAATACCGCCTCGCAGAACCTGATCACTGAACAGCCAGATCAAACCACTTCGCTTTCATTTCTCTCGTACACGGAAAAATTGCTTGCAGGAGCATGGAGATTCCTCACCTACTTTGGTCGCGACAGCATGATCTCCACGTTGCTTCTGGAGCCGGTGTTGAGTCAAGGTAACGGTTCCGCGACAGAAGCCGTAATTGGGGCAGTCCTCGAGCGACTCAACCGGACTGACGGATCCGTCTGTCACGAGGAGACCATTGGTGACTATGCAACCTATCTAAACTTGCAGGACAACGTCACCAGCACTGCACCCGGTTTCACATATCCGATGATCGACACAGACTATTATCTCCCGGTTCTCATGGCACAATACTTCAACAGCAGCCCGTCCCGCATCAGTCCTTTTCTGAGCCGCAGGGCCGGCACGGTCGATATCCAAAATCGCAACCTGACCTACCAGGATTTGGTGCTCATCAATGCGGAGAAGATCATAAACATCACTGCCGCATTCGCGCAGAACCAGACGTCAGCCAATCTTATCCACCTGAAGTCGGACCAGATCGTGGGACAATGGCGGGATTCTACCTATGGACTCGGAGGGGGTCGGATTCCCTTCGATGTCAATACCGCCCTGGTCCCTGCCGCTTTACGAGCCATTGGTCAACTAGCACGTACACCGGGCGTCTTTCCGAATAACTCGAACGTCAATACTACTTCCTGGCGCACACTTGCCGACTCCCGAGCTCAGATTTGGGAAGAGAATACGCTACAGTTCTTTGAAACAAACATCACAGCTTCGACTGCGCGGTCCCGCCTCGAAGATTTCGTGGACACGGCCACATTCTACAACGGACCGACCAACGCTTCGTCGCTACCTTCATCAGGCAACGTGACGACCTATTCGATTGCCCTGGACGGCTACAACAATCTGTCGTCGGTCAACGTCCAGCACAGCGACAGCAGCTTCCGCGTATTCTTCGTCAATGCCTCGTCTTCCACGCCAGAAGCCGAAGCACAAGAGACGCGGTTCATCAACGCCACGGCCAACAGCCTGCTGCGACCGTTCCCGGCAGGCCTAATGACACCCCAAAGCATGATTGTGGCGAACCCGGCGCTGTCGGGGTCGGACGTGTTGATCGCCAACTTCACCAACGCGGCATACCACGGCTGCGTGGTCTGGTCTTTCCAGCTCTCCATGATGGCCAAGGGCCTGGAGAGACAGCTTGCGCGGTGCAACGCCACTAACTCGACGGCCTCTTCCTCTGCCGCCAGCCGCCCAGCCTGGTGCGGTATATCCTCGGTGTACAACAACGTCGTGCGCGCGTACAACGCCCTGTGGGACAGCATCGACGCCAACGCCGCGCAGCTGCAGGGCGAGGTGTGGAGCTGGACCTTCAACAACCGCACGGGTGACTTTGTCACCACGCCGTTGGGCGTCCTGCCGCCGCCACCCGGGGTTGGGGCCGGCACCGAGAGCGATATCCGCCAACTCTGGAGCTTGACGTTCTTGGCCGTCAGGAGGAATGAAGATCTGCGATGATATTTCTGCTGGTGGGTTGTCAGTTAGTTTATCGGTTCACAGATGTGAGCATTTTATCTCGTGCCAGGCTCTCGAAGTGTATGAGAGAATGACAGAGAGGAATGTCCACAATCAGCCATCCCAGAAAAGTCAAGTCGATGTATCACAGCACCAAATGCTATACGATAATCCATACAGTCGCTAGTGTTAATATCAATCTACAAAATTTAACAAAATCGAATCTCGCATTCATACATGCTGTTTGGAAGTCAATCACGGGACCGTAAATCATCACCGGTATTGAGTATATCACGCCTTCGACCACGTCAACGATAATTAAGACTGACACCAAGGCTGACACCAAACGAAAAGTAAGCGATGCATTCTATTTCCACGTTTCTATAATTTTTGATTTCGAACCAGAGCAGAGCTGCCAGGTAACCGGGGCTGCCGGGACGATCGTAGATAGAGTACAAAATGTTTTACCATACGGAAAGAGAAATCGCACTACTCATCCATCACAAGCCTCACCTCACCTCACCTCACCTCTCACACCTTGTCACCACCACAGAAACCGCAAAGGATAGATCACAGCCTGGCCTGCAACTTCTCGGCCGTCTCGCCGAGGGCATACGCGGAGGGGGCCTTTTTGCTCTTGATCTTCTCAAAGTCGGCGAGGGTGATGCCCCGGGCCTCGACGGCGGGGTTATACCCGACACCGCTCTCCTGGGCGATCTGGGCGTCGGTCTCCGTGACGTCGGTGTTCTTGCGGCCGTCGGCGCGCTTGTAGATGGTGACGACGACGGCGCCGCCGAGGCCGAGGTTGTGCTGCAGCGCGACGTCGATGTCCTTGACCAGACGGCCGTTGTTGGCCCATCCGCGCAGTTGCCACGCGAGCTCGGCGCATTGGGCGAGGCCAGTGGCTCCTATTTGGTCCCCGGCTGGGTTAGCATGCATCCACATTGTCTGACTGTTGTTGGGAGGATTTTTTTCATGGATGAGGGCACATAAGGTGGTGTGGAACTCTGACATACCTAGAGGATGGCCCTTGGAGATCAACCCTCCAGAGGGATTCACAACAGGTCCCTTGCCACCGTACGTGATATCCCCGTTCCTCACCATGAGGTGGGCCTTGCCTTGGTCGCAGAACCCAAGACCCTCGAGCAGAATGAGTTCGTTGGTGGAGAAGCAGTCGTGCACTTCGCACACCTTGACGTCTCGGGCGGACACACCTGCCTCGGCGAGGGCAGCCTTGGCCGCACGTCGAGTCATGTCGAAGCCCACGAGGTCCATTGGGGAGCGCGAGAACAAGCTAGGAGAATCCGTCATCAGAGATTGTCCGGCCATCAGGATAGCGCGGGACTTGAGTTCAGGTCGAGACTCGAGGAAGCGCTGAGACACGATGACCGCCGCCCCCGCGCCGTCAGAGGTGGGCGAGCATTGGAGTTTGGTCAGTGGGTAGTGGATCATGGGCGACTTCTCGATCTCCTCGAGGGTGTAGACGTTGTTGAACTGGGCGTAAGGGTTGCGCGAAGAGTGCTCGTGAGAGATGCGGCCGATTTCGGCGAAGTCGCGGGCTGAGGCGCCATATCTGTGATGCAGTAGCTGGTCAATGAACCCGTCCATCGAGAACAAGGGGGGAACAGCCCTCGCTTGAGGCACAGATGATCTCGCTGAGGTGGACGCCGTGCCGAACAGCGAAAGACGCCCATACACAGGCGATCAGTCCATGGGAGTTTGTGGCTTACTTCTCCATGTATTCCAATCCAGCATTGGCAAAGTATTGCGCATTTGTCGGGGTGTCATGCTTTCCCCTTGTCTCCTCCATCAACTTCGTGCTTAAGCCCATGGGGCTCGGTCTATCATCCCACACACTCTTGATGGCGCCAGGCTTCATGGTCTCAAACCCAATCACCAAGACGACGTCGACGATGCCCCCCCGGACTAGCGTCCGTGCCAGCTGCAGGCCCGTGGATCCGGTAGCGCAGGCATTATTGGTGTTGTATACGGGGATGTTGGTCATGCCAAACTGGTAGAAGATGCGCTGGCCAGACGTGGTTTCGCCATAGCAATAACATGCCACGCCAGTCTGGACATCGTCGTATGTGATGTGGGCGTCCAAGAGAGCTTTGGTACCGGCTTCTAGGCCCAGCCTACAGCAGCCTTTGGTCAGTACTCGGTATGGCACCTCCAGTGGTGTGAGAGACTAGAGATTATGTTGTCCCCTGTGAGACTTACTCAGGATAGGTGCGCAATTGGCGAGGCTTGATGAACTTGGTGAGACCCACCCCAAGCACGTAGGCGTTTTGCTGGAAGGACATGGTGGTGTTGTGCTGTACGAGGTAGTCTGGGTGTTTGGGAAGATGAGGAATAGTGAACGAGCTTCTCGGATGTGCAGGTAATAATAATAGCAGGAGAGTTTGATATTTGTTCCAGTGCTGTTGATTACTATCTCCGGCTTCCTCCACCTCGTCCCGCTCATTATTTTCGAGCCCGAGGGCGACCATCATCAAACATCCCCCGCGGCCGGGAAAATCGTTGAACTCTAACTAGCCGAGGCTCAGACAAGACTCCACAAACGAATTATCATTATCCACAGGTGCCACGATGCTTTGTACTTGCAAACTTGTTAGCGAGTCGCCGTGTGCTGCGGACCATCTGCCGATCGACGCCGATATGGGTCTCGTCGTGGCTCGTCCCGAGTACATGGCCCTATATCAACTCCAGTTGTAATTGTACATGGATATCTCCCAACCAAGTAAAACAAACCACTAACAAACAAATGGTTGGGCTGCCTTTGTCACAAGCAGAGAAGTCAGCCCAGACTTGGCCCAAAGGATATCAGAACAACTCCAAGCCCTGACAATGTTTGAGGAATACAGTGTAGATCCGTATGCGGCGTTCATGGTCGCGACTCTGCACACAGACCATCGTCGTTAAGCCCCCAAACACCGTTGACGTCCAAAACATGTTCCCAATAAGGACCTATCTCCTCTGGCACCCAAGTCATCAAATCATAAATCGTTGTCAAATGTCCTCTTGACATTCACTGGAGGCATGAAGAAAATAATAAAACTGTCTTTCCCGTACTGGTACCGGGATTGGTATCTCTGGGTGCTGGTATGTATCCACCAAGAAGAAGTCCACATTGATGTCAATCGGCATCCTGCGTGGGATGCCGTAACCCTGACATGGTGTTTTAGAAGAGGAGAGCCGTGTCGGCACTTTCAAACGACACCGAGGTGAAACTCCATTGCAAGTGGAACAAGTATGTAAAACTTGGGCCTCTCAACGGAGTGATTATTCAGGAGTTAACTTCCCAGATGAGAATCCGTGGAAAAGAAGGATTGATTGGAATTGGAGTTTGTTTGCCTTTGTGGTGTCACCAATAACTGTTGCTCGCTGACAAAGGGATTGAAGTCCCAGTTATTATGAAAATGACGTGGAAGGCCAGGCGATAACATTTCCGTGTCTCGGGGCCGTTTCTGTGGAAGGCTGATCTGTGGGCTGGTACCGGACAGAAGCGTAAATGACGCGACAGAATAAGGGCTGGGAGGAGACGGAATGGATGAGGGCGGCATCGATGTAGCTAAGACTGGCTGTGAAACTGTTGGCGCGGTAGTACCTCTGGCCGTTCTTGCTCGACCCTGTTCATTAATGTCGTCTGCACTTGGCTGTCTTGTGCCGTATACAATGCGGAGGGAGTCGGCAGGGTTGTGGGGACCAATTTCGGCATGACACCTTTCCAGATGGTTTTCGTAGTGTCCCTGTCGGGCGTAGTTCTTCTTGCAATTCTTTGACGGACAGAAGAAGCGCTGTCCGGGCGGGGCAGTTCGACCAAGGTTCGCCGTCGTCGAATGGTCCTCAGTAGAGCTAGGGCTCCCTGCAGTGCGAGATGGACCACCTGCGACCCGTCCCGGATGTTGTGTTACAAACCCGGGTTGAGTTTGTTGTGGGCCCAAAAGAGGATGGAACGGATCCCCTCGAGATCTCGTGTAAGTGGGTATGGAAGCAGGGCCCGTGCAGGCATGACTCGATCTCGGAAGATTCGTGATAGGAGATTCTGAATGAGGTCGAGCATTGTTGACCTGCATCAGCACCTCCTGCTTCATAGTGTCCCAGCTCTTGTCCGCTCTGATTTGCAGGATCAAGCAGAAGATCTCCTGAGGAGGAGTGAAGTAAACATTTCCGAAGAATTGTCGGAAGAGGGGGGACCGCGCTCTCTGACGGATGCTCTTCAGCATGGACAACTCGCACTCGTCGGCTAGGAGTAAGGCATGGATGACGTGCGAATAGAGGAGGAAGTGTTGGTGACGAGTCAGTTCGTTAGTTTTGGACGAGATGGCATGGAATTGTGAGGTATCAGCATGGCTCTGGGAGTGAGCTGATATGCTTGACTGCAGGTGCTGGGGCGGATTTCCTTGAGGATTGGCTACGTGATTGCTGAACATGGTGTGCTGTACTTGGTCCAAGGCCTGGAGACGGCACAGGGGTTTTCAGTGAATTCAATGCGGAGGACGGAGGACGGATAGGGTTCAACGTGATCGTCTGGGTTGGTCAATCGGAGGTCGACCTGGTTGTGGTGCGAAGCAAAGGAAGACTGGGCGGCGCGGATAAACGGTGAGGGCACGAGGCGTCACTTTTGGGCGGCAATTGTAGCCAGGTATTGTGGCAGTCAACAGTAATCGAAGAGATGTTTGCCGACAAAGGTTAGGAAAAGGATGGAGGACAAAGTGTGAGAAAAAAGATGGTAGTAAATAGGCTGGGTGCATTCATTATATGAACGCTGTAGGTGCAAATGAGTTGAGCAGAGCGCAGACGGAGGGGTATGGGCCAGAACGGGGTGATGTAGGATGTAAGCGTGAAGCGTGGACGCGGGCGTATGAGAGGGCGCATGATATCCAAAGGCGAGGTACACCGTTGTGATGGGACATAGCGAGCAAACACAGTTAGGCAAGGCAGATACGGCTATCATTCATTCATGAGTTGTTGGACTACAACAGGTGAGAGTCGCAAGAGTAGCGGAAGGACGAAAAAAATACATGAAAACAAAGAAGTTTGTTACGTTCTGGCTCAGTTAGGTTAGGCTTATAATAGAGGCTGGTTATGCCCAGCCCAAGCCTAACTAGAGCCAGGGAGGGTACCCACGACGAGGACAAGCGAGGCAGGCTTCCAAGCCCTGGGGGATGCCCACGCCGGACTGCTTGACCCAGAGCTATGATCCCAAGTCCTGAAAAGTGATCCACTGGGGCAGTGATGGCGTTGTCTTTGCTCGTCATTTGGAGCTAAAAGGATGCAAAATGCGCCAATCCCCCATTTCGACAGCCCACTAGCCTTCATCCTCCCCTCAAAACGTGGTTTTTTTTTCATCTCGTCCCACGACCTGGACCAAGTAGGTACTTGTACGCAATGGATCAATCACCTTCAACGTACGGCACGGGCACTGAACGGGTTTCAGCAGGGATGGGCCTCTATTGCTCCACGCCGCCAGTCATCTCTCTCACTGGCTTCGATTGATCCCATCCACATCCCATCCCATCCCATCGCTCCCATCGCCCACCACCGCGCCACCCGCTTTCTCTCCCTTGCGTAACGAAAGCAGCGCCCCCAAGGGCCACCCCTGAAACCCGAGGAACATCATATCCGATACCTAAAGGAGCGCGGTCATCCCCGTACGAGGTTCACCTGAAAACGTGGGACTGGTGCCTGGCCGCTGCACCGTGACCTCCCGCCCGCCTCTGTGCGACTATTTGTAGGTATCTACCTACACAGAAAGCAATGCAGCACTGGGAATGGAGTCATCCATCCCGTTAATAACTGGTTTTTGTGGCGAAATTGGCACCCTTCGTCTCATCGCGCTCCGGTTTCCTTCCTCCACACAGCGTCTAGCCCTTCGAAGGCTCCAACGAAAGATGCGCTCTCCAGCAATCAGCAATCAGTCCACCTGCAAGCTGTCGCTCTGCGCGACACAGCAATACCTCACCGCCTAGAGTTGCTGATCGGGCAATTAATCTGTTGAAGCTTTGTGATTCCTGCTGGTCGAGGCCAATTTCATCTCATCGTCATCGTGCTTGGGCCACTGAGGCGCAACCCAAAAATAATATTCCGACACTGCACTTCGCACTGTGTTTTGGGGGCACTTTTGATGGCCAGGGTTAGAATATGTGCAGATCTGTCCATGATCCTATCGAAAGAGTCTTCGACATCAGCAACACCAGGACTCGAAAGTCCGTGGGGACCTGCATTCGAGGATCAGGAACCGACGAACCGCACCGTTCACCAGCTGGCCCGCTACGGTTCAACTGCTACCAGCAGCTCCATCATGCGGGCAAGCAGGTGTACCACCCGCTTTGGAACTGCTCGACCGTTGTCCCTGCCGCCAAATGCTAGAATCTCCCGCTACCTATTTAGCATGGTGCGCAACCTTGCATCCCGCCCACATCCGTAATCCCAATCACTTGCTGCCACGCTTCCTCAATTTGACATGATTTCGGTTGTGGCGGAGATAGGAATCAGGAATGCACCCTACCCAGCTGACTCGCACTGTTTGTCGACATACATACATCAATACTCCCGTCCCTGCGTCCCTGGACATATTCTTGGACCTCCTCGCGCAGTCAGAAGGCCAACCCATTTAAAGATTAGCTCTAACAGGTGTGTTTCAGATTCCAACTTATCTCTATATCATCGAATGGAAGACGACGAAATTTTGATGAATATCATCTGTTCGCCTTTTCATTTAATGGCTCCCCACCATCAGTTCGGCCAACGCGGGCAAACTGTGGACAAAGTTCCTTCCATCTGGTAGTCACCCACTGCGGCCGTCGGGTTGATCGCAACCAGGAAATGCGTTTTGCAAACACGGGTCGCCTCATCAGACGAACGCACCCCTGCCGACATTCTTGCCGACTCAAATTTTTCAACCACATCATGCAGTCCTAGCGGCGGACCCGTGTTTGGCTCTTTGGGCGGCTTTGGTAGTGCTCATGTCAATGCTGATTCTGGTAGGGTTACTGCGGCGCCGGCTGCGGGGATCAGATACGGGAAATCGCGTTCCAAAGGTGACCCAAGGGCCTGGACCCTACCAGAGGTGCTAGAGCCTTCGCATTTGTCGGCTCGTGGCTGTCAATCCAAGCTGGAGCAGGGAAAGGAATTTCAGCGAACAGAAGCCTATACCCCAACCCGAGCTTCCAGGTTCTGCATAGACAACTCAACTGACATCCAAAACCTCACAGCAAAACTCCCTTTTGTGACAATGAGCTACTGACGACCCGAGCTAGCCTCTTCGCCTCGTCTTCCATCTTTGGTCTTCCATCATTTGAAATTGACCATATTCGGCTTCGTCTTTCAGAGGATAGCAAGACTCGTGATTACGTTCATGTTGCGATGTGACGAGGCGTGACCCAGGATTACTCGGGTCAAAGCTGAGGGCCTCCAGAAGTGAAGTGGTAGATAGCCCACTGGGTCCAGATGGTCCTGGAGAGCTTTCATCGAACACGCCCTGGCTCATGCTGATCTGGAAGCCATTGTGGCCAGTGGTGAAAGTGAAGTCTCCCGCATATCTGACACCATCTTGGCGAGCGTTCGAAATCTCATTTCCACCACCGTAGGACTCCTGGGACAATCGTCGTTGAGTCAGGGGCGAGTCGCTCGCACTTGTGACGACCGAAGATGTGGTGTCGCCCTGATTACTCGGCTGAGGCGATGAGTCTGGCACCAGGAACTCTGCAGGATTCCGGTTGCGATACTCCGACTCTGCGTGGCAGTTGCGCATGTGGTTGCTGAAGTTTCCAGCATTCCTGAAAGCATCATGCCTGCAATTCATGTAAGGGCATTTGTATCTCTCTCCTTTTGGTGCCCTTCCTTTTGCCCTCTGATAGGTAGGACTCTGGAATTTTTTCCTCCCGCCCACCATCGAAACTGGCGTCGTGGATCTTGTTTGACTACCTTGACCAGGACCTGGACTGGAAACGTGAGATGCGAGAGAACTGTTCCCTTCCGATGCACGAGGGACCGGGCGATTGCAGGAGTCACCAAAGTCTCGCCCTCCATGCCCAGTAGCCTCTAAGCCGCCGGAAATCAGATCTGGCGGTATTGGGATTGAGGAGATGATGTCGATACACTCAAAACGCGAATGCTCAAAATCATACTGATCTCTGAGTTCATTGACCAAGCGCCACAAGTCAGGAGGGAGTCTGCCATACTCCTGGCAGAGATAGCGAGTTAGAAGGTGGTGAGCGGTGGAGTATTCTCGAGGATTGTACAACTCAGTCCACAAAGCGGACGTCAGACGAAGGTAGCTGCATACCGTGTCTCGAAAGATTGCAATATCCTGTCGACCAATGATTGTGGCCAAGATGGCATGTGAGTTTGATGTTTGACGATGCGAAAGGGATGTTTGCGAATTGTTATTGGCGAAACCGATTCGGCTTTGGTCGAAGAGCGGTGACCAGGTCGCTTGTTGGAATGCATATGCTGGACCCATTGGGGTGGCAACTGGCCTATGTGTTTGGTTCCCCATCTGGACAGGATATCGGATTTCCAGCTCCGAAGATGGACTGTCGATCATTCTCCCAGTCAGCATGGCCAGCGGCTGAATGGCATCATTGGGAGTCGAGAAAGAAATCCTGAATTGCTCCATGACGGCGGGTGGCAAAGCGAATACGACCAATCAATTTACGCGCCAAGGATAAATGGCACTCGTAGGAAGGACGAAAGGAAACCGGCCAGCGGTCTGGGACTGAAAGAAACAACGAGGACAAGGAAATGTCAAGGCCGTGGAAGGAGAGCGGGGGGAGAGAAGAATCTGAACGGGAGCATATTTTCGTAGACTGAATGAAACTTGTGGGTAGATGAGATTTAGAAAACTCGGGGATTTTTGAAGCAAATAGAGCATTCGGGGCGGAGGAACTTGGGGGGAGTTGATAATGGCTCGAGGCTGGGCCACCCGTGGATGCGGCGTGATGCGAACAGACGCCAAACCAGTGTGCGTCATGGTCATGTCCACTTCATCCAGATCTAGCATCTCCAAGCCACTGGTGTGGCTGCTCAGACTTGGTTTAGGTAAGGGGCACGGATGCAAAAGTCGATGGGATTTTGCGGCTCTTGTTCGAACTGGGGGGGTTTGCATCAAGCTTGAAGGTGGATTGGGGGACAAAAGGCCTCGCAATAGGTCCCGCGTCGTGCACAGCCTCAGGCACCACGGGGCCATCGGAGACCGCGGTCGACGCTGGTTGGTCAATTTAGAACAAGATGCCGAGGTATCAAAGCTAAATCGGACCCCCCTGCACGCGGAGTTTTTCCAAAGGCAGTTAGCTCGTATTTGTCTAACCAATAGACGCTGGAGCGCCACGACTTTTTGGGCCCTTTTGTGGCTGATGATTGTCCACTTGCCTACAAAGTACGAGCCACCGACTACTTGTACTTTCCTTCCGAGAAAGAAGAACGAGATGCGCCCTAACGAGTGCAATACGCGGGTATCAGGGCATGTACAATGCTTTCCTGTCGGAGCATGTGAAAATGGGAATCGTGACTATATTACATAAACTTGTGCTTGTAGATGCAGAGATTGATGACAAGGTAAGGTGGATTAGCTGAGCTGATTTTGAGTGATTTGTTGGACCGCCTTGGTACTTGTACCCAGAGTAATGTGTACTTGTACCGAGTACATAAACCCTTTTCAGACCAGCAACCAACCAAGAGACGGACCAAGAACCGGGCGACCGGGCAGCAGGGTTACTACGCCTCACTCTTCCATTGATTATTATGGTCGAGAGAGGTTATGTATGTACAAGTACTCGGTACAGAGTACAACAACGGGTTTCGTCATAGGTACCGGGTACATTGGTGGAAAGCCACACTACGTGACTACCTAGCAGCTCGGTATTCGATACAAGTACGAGGGAAGGGAGTCGTATCTCGTACGAAGATCATTACACTCGGCACTGTGGGCCACCAAGCCCATCATCAAGCGAAAGACCTGGTCTGCTCCGTATGTAGGTGTGGCTGGTCAACACCCAAGACACGCTGCCAATCGCCCAGTGCCTGCTAATATTAAGCGAACAAGGCCTACCAAAACGAACAATGCGTGTGTGGCTGTGTCCGTGTCCCTGTCCCATGCCCGTGAATTCCAGTGACCAATGAATCCATCAAGGGAGCCCTTTTTCCCATCTCGTCTCGTCTCCATCCATCCAATCTCCATCCCCGATTCCCCTTCATCTCTGTTCGTTGTTCGATGAGTTTCCCAACAGTCCGGAACGGCCGTGGGTTTTACCAGGCTTGCCGGGACAAAGAGTTCCAAGACAAGCAAGGGTATCTATCTACTTACAAGGTACCGAGTACTTGTACCCAATGGCAGTGCGTTTATTGACGCCAGCTTTGCCCAGTCAGAATCTACAAAGCACAAGTACAGTACCTACCTACGAGGGTACTCCCTCCGTACGAGTAACGAGAACATATCTCTTAGTAAGAGAGAGGATTGGTCCATCGCGTCCACCTCCACCTGCACCTTGCACCTTTCTACCTTTACAGCTTTACAGCTTTACAGCTTATCAGTACAATGTACTTTGCACACGTATTACCACCAGCAGAGGGTGACAATGCCATGCCACGTCACGGACCTTGAACCTCTCTTGTCTGTCTGGCTTCGAATTGTCATCGACCCCCGTCCCCGTCGAGTCCCCAGAACCCAAAGTTAGAATCAATTCAATCACAGCGCCACTCCGTCGCCCGCCGGCCTGCGGGAAAACAGTTTGTGCGAATTTGTACCCGGTTTCTCACCTCACTCACCTCACATGTCTCGTGTGTGTCTGTCCACGGACCACCATGAGGCGAGATACACAAGTCCTCGGTACTGCTCGCTGAGTAGGGGCGATTGATGGCGAATGACGCAATAATTCGGGCAGAAACACCAGAAAAGGCACAAGTAAAGTACCGCCGAGTGTCGAGTACCGAGTCTTCGGTAATAATGGGCTTGGGACTTGGTACTTAGAACTTGTTCGATGAAGATGATTATGATTACTATTCCGCACATCTTCCGTGTCCCTACGTCTACCAAGGATACTAAAGATGCTAAAGAGGCTAAGGATAGGTATGTGATTAAGTGGTAAAATAACCTAGAACAAATCTCCTTGTACGGGGCGCATACGAGGTTTTCATGTGTACCTCGTGTTCGGGACAAGAATCCTCCGTGGATCAGCCATGGCGGTTGTGAGGCAATGACACGCACGGATACCTTTCCACCTCATACAGCGAGTACTTGGTCCTTGGTACATGGGATATACTTGAGTAGATACTCGTCGTGTCCATGTGAAACTTGAGCTTGCTTCGCTTATCAATTGTAATTGTGCATCAGAGGGCAATGCATCCTTGACTCTCCTCATTTGGTAACCCGCCACAGTCGCTTGCGCCTAGCCTGTGGTCCCCTGCACTCCAAAAAGCCAAATGTCTGCGCCTGCCACTGCTTCTATACATATTCCATGCCATGTCCATTGGACACCACACATGCTTGGCGTTGCCTTGCATGATGTTGTGCCACCACGTTGGAGAATAACTCGACCATCGATTCGACGGCGGACATTAGTCTGAGCGAGGCATCCAGCGGCCGACACCAGTTCGTGATGATATGCCTGGTCTCCCAACAACTAAAGGGTGTACCGGTGCGCCCTGGCTCAACTCGATGCCTTGAGGACCGAAGTTAGGCTCTTGACAGTCCACGCGCAGGGGGAGACCTCCGAGTCTGCCTCTGGCAGGTAGGGGGGCGCGCGAATGGGAGAGCATGTCCGCCTTGAAGCCTTGTCCAAAAATCGTCTCTTCAGGCATACCTTTCCTAAAGCTAAATTGTTGATGGCGACAGCTAAAAACGGAGCCATTCGGCACCAATCTGCTGGATCGAGCCGGCAGATACATAGGTGACAAATCGTATTCCAGAGAAGAGACAATCAGCATCGGCCGTTCCTTTTGGAATGAGACCATATGCCGGGGGACTGAATAGACTCGGTGCGAATCGTTCAACCAGGCAGAAATACCACTGGGCGAATAATGTTGCCCCGTCACGTCCTTGTCCTGTTGTCCAACATCTCCCCCCTTCGAGTCTCGCCAGGAGGCCACAAGCTCATATCTGATGTATCAGTGAAGGGTAGATATTGCAATCACGGCAACTGTGCCGTATAAAAAGTCGTCGCGTCACTAACCATGCCACTCACATCCGGCAGCTGACCATTGCTTCGCTCACTCTCCAAGATGGCCATAAGTTCCATTTGTTGCTGGGAACTCAGGCTCTGCATTGCATAATCGCCCGGGCCACTTGCGTTGGCAGCTGTACCAGGATGCCCTCCTGCTACCGCTCTAGAAGACCCGTGCGAGCCCGGTGGAGGGAATGATTGCCCCATGTATCGACTGTACTCGTGACCAAAAGGGGCAAGGTATGGAAGGTCGTCGTAATTCATGTTGGGAGACCCCGTCAAGCCGGGGATAACTCCTGGGATAAGAGGTCCAGCTGTCCACGAACCACCAGGACCCGCGCTGGCGCCGCTCGTTGCTGGGAAAGAATGTGGGTCGAAACCAGGCAGACTGTAGTGCATCGCTGTGGCGTCAATGCGGGGCAGTGTTTGGTGGCTGGTTGTAGGGATATACTGTTGTTGCGGATTGGCCATTGGTTGTGTTGATGTAGGGAACATCTCCGGTTGAGGCTGAAACGGTTGTTGCGCAGAATGGTCAATGTAGCCAGCCGCCGCGTTCTTAAAGTTGTGGTTGTTTGCTGTGGTGTGCACACTATGGATCGACTGGGGGGATTGAGCACCATAGATTGACGTATTTGTGGTACTGGCTGGACTGTTCGCAAACTGTGAAGCTGCTGCTGAGCTCAGGTCTTGTGTCGTTGTGGAAGAGACATAATCTGATTGCGAGGCAGGGGATTCCTTGCTGTCGGCTTCGTATGCCTTGAGACAACCATACACAAGGTTCTCGTAGAGTTGTTGCGCAGAGCGTACCCCCGGCCAGCGGTCGGCGCAAAGGTCGATCGCTCTGAGTGCGTCCTGGATATGCACCTGGACCTCTTCCAAGGGATGCTGTTGTCTGATACCAGGATATGACAGGCACCAGAGCACTGTATTAAGCGCCATAAAGATGGCTTGAGTAAAAATCCAGGTAATATCGATCAAATGCCCTTCGACCTGGCGCTTCTGGAGTTGGATGTTGAACGTGGCTGCAGAATAGCATTGCTGGGCTGCGTAAAGAGAAGGACTGGGAATTTGCGGCGACGGTCGGTACATGAACACTATCATGGTGTTTTTGCGACCAATAAACCAGGCCTCGCTCAAGCCAGATCCCTCGTCGTTCTTGGGGCAATCCCGGACCCAGTTGTCGATCTTGGTCAGCATTTGGTGAAACCACGGGTCTTGATCATGCACAGGTGCCTCTCGCTTCTTCAGGTATAGAGTCCGCCTGATCTCGGCCTGCAGCAGCCTCATCTTGAAGAAGTGGATGGAGATGCACTTTTTCATGATTGGATGGTGACCAGTAAGCAGTCCGTCTGCACTGATATATTTATCGTCGCAAAGTTCGAAAAAGTTGACGTTGATGTTGTCGACAGTTACACCAAAGGCACTCGGCCTGCCGAGACTGTGGGCAAGTCCATACTCCATGGACGTTATGATCCAAAACAAACGTCGTCGCATGTCCACCTCTAGGGCATTGGGCCTGGCACCGGAAGGCGGTCGATGAATTGTCTCTTCTTCGCATAAACCCAGCTCTTGACATAGTTTCGCTGCGATTCCCACCACCCAATACGCTGCGGTTCGAGTCGGTGTGAGCAACGAATATTGCGCAATGAGCGCGAAGCATTGAAGCGTCGATAAATCCATCTTCTGAACAGCACCTGTCAGAAACGGAAGCGCAGCCAGATAGTAGCTGTCAGCCAGCCCAGCGTATTGCTTATCTAGCTTCTGCATGCTGATTGCCACAACGAGACGGACTTGGAAATTAAGAGTTGGGTCCTTTGATCCGTCGTATACAGCCTGCAGCTCCTTCCGAAAAGAGGGTTCGTGAAGAAGCGGGAGCATGTATTGGGCTTTCACCATGTATATGTCCACAAGCTCATCCATGAGGACACTGTTGGGAAGATCTGGGGCGGCGACCGAACTGATGAGAGGATATACTTTCGACGTAGGCTTGCTGCTCTCGGCGTCAAACTTGTCTTTGATCTCTTGAGCGGCGTGTTGCGGGACGACGTCTTTGATGGTTCTCCGGAGCGAGTTCTGCTTTGCGAATTCCATGACAAAACGGGTGATGGCAATGCCACTTGAAGGCCCCAGAAATCGGGATTCATCGTTCTCACTGAATTTGACCAGCCCAGCGCCACGCGCCATAGCCTCGTGGTCCGGTTCATATTCCTCCTCTTTTTGCAATGCCTTGAGTTCCTCGTTGAGCCGGCGCACCGTCTCCTGCAGGGACGTGATGTATGTTCGCGGAATGGTTCTGTTCTTGGCCGAATCGTAGTATTCGCAGTGCGCATTGCTCCTTTCACAAGGCTCACACCGAGGAAGCGCGGGGTCGCATCGGGTTTTTCTCTGCGAAAACGTTAGGACTGACTCTCTCAAGAAATCTGGCAGGACAAGAAGAAGGCTCACCTGTCTGCATCGTACACATGCAGTTACCGTATGGTGTACCTTATCCCGGGTTCGAGCCGTTTCCGGCGAGTCAGCCATTGTCGCATGTTCGCTGTCTGCCATCAATTCAGCAAGCGGATAGCAAAGGGTCGATGTTCAGGTGGTCAAAGATGGTGAAGGCGGCCTGCAAGGGAGATCGATATCCATTCCTCATGATGCGTGCGTGGCCTGCCAGTGATGAAATAAAGTACGGGAAGTTTGCTCATGATCGGATGTTGGACAGTGCATTAGGTGAGGCCAGACACCATTGGATTGCGCTGAGAGTTTGGGCATAGGGTTACCGCCTAGCGGAACCCGGATGAGCCTGTCAGCAGCGAGGGGTGGGCTTCAACAGGACAAAACATTCTTCTGCTCGCCTGGTGACAGATCCAGGTTCTGGGGCCAGATGTAACGGTCGGCCACAGATGTTGACGAGCTGGAGTGTCAGTGACCTGTCAAGAGGATTTGGCTCCTGTGCAGCTCAGATTGAAGAATTGACACGGAGCTGAAATCCTAAAGCTGAGGAGGACAGCACAAGGTCAGGGAGGACTGCGACGACGCCTATTCGCCCAGTACCTGGATGCTTACCTGTCCAGTAGCAGTAGGGGTCCTGTCATGCCTGTATTTGGGCAGAGGCCATCGAGGCCCTGAAGGGGTCCAGGCGCTCACGGATCCCCCGCGGCTGAAGTCTAATAGGGGTTGGCCCTCGACTCGCTTCTCCCATTGGGTGGGGAACAGGCGAGAGAAGTGCCCGGGACCCCCAGCCGCCACCAAAAGAGGGGACCCAATGATGAAAGGTCAGTGCCCACCGACCCCTCCATGGATGAGCCCCTTGGCCGAAATGTTCACTTGATCGTCGTCAATCGTCAAAGAGCAAGACACATCCCTCATCGTCACCAACCACAATAGAAGACAACGGCAGCAGCTACAATTCAGCTCAAGTCAGTCGTAAAAGAGATCGCCAGATCGCCATCTCTGCTCATTGCCCTCTACCAGACAGCGCACCCGTCCTTCACCATCGAGGTCGCACTACTCAGACTCTGGCTGGTAAAGATAGCGTCACAGATCAGCGCCAACAATTTCATTGTTGTCGATATCCTCAGGAAAACCTACACGTATCGAGCAGAAATGTGTTGACTATCACCTCCGAATTCCTTTCTTCAGTCATGACGAAGAGCGAGTCCATCGAGGCCCTCCTAGCTCCCTCACTGAGGGTGTCCAGACCTGTGGCTGCGTGCGCGAGGTGTCGCTCTGCGAAAATCAAATGCGACGGAAAACTGCCCGCTTGTTCTGCCTGTGAGAGATCTGGCAAAGCAACCAGTTGCACAAGCGCCAACGATGAATTTGCGCGGGGCAAGGAAAGAAGCTATGTCGCAGCCCTCGAAGCTGCTGCTCAACGGCTACAGAAAAAGATCAATGCTGCGCGAGCGGAGGCTGCCAGTCAAACGACGCTGTCTAGCACGCACTTGACGACGGGCCGGCCTCCCCAGCGACGAAAGATAAGCGGCGCTCGCCGAAAAGAGGCTTCGGATGTTGACGAGCTGGTCAGTGACTTTGGCTTCCTCACTGTCAACGCTACCTCGCGCGATTTCCATGGGTTTACCTCGACCATGTCATTTGCGAAGCTTCTCCTCTCGGCGGCGGCAAGAGGAGAGCTACCTCCTCTTGAATCGCGAGGGCTGCCCCCTCGATACGCCATCACTCCCATGATCAATCAATACCTTGAAAACATATTTGTCCTCTTCCCCTTCTTCTCCGAAACAGACTTGATGTCTAGCTTGTCTCGCATCTATCACGAGTCTTCTGCGATCTCATCGACTGTGACCCCCTTGGACGTGTGGTATGTACGCCTGATTCTGGCCATCGCCTATGCCTCGAGCTCGCAACGGAAAGGAGACGAGAATGACAAGACAGCACTACAACACATGTCGGCAGCTAGAGGACTTGCCTGCTACGTATTACATCCTGGATCCATTGCTGGAGTGCAGGCTCTCCTCCTTCTGGTACAGTACTCACTGGTAGACCCAGCACACTATGATCCCTGGTACCTCGTAGGCATGGCAGCTCGCCTCATGGTCGATCTGGGGCTGCACTGCGAGCCACCTCCAGAGACGAAGATCAGCAAGGATGAATTGGACCTGCGAAGAAGGATATTCCATTGTGTTTACGCTTTGGACCGCCTCGTCAGCATGTCTCTTGATCGGGCATTCTCATTCACCGACGATTCCGCTTCCGAGGTGCCTCTACCAGAATCAGCGTCGGAGTCATCCCAATCTCCGGTTTTCCAGCGTTCGATCAGGCCATGCCTCTATATGTTTGACATTCGCCGCGTTCAGTCTAGCTTCTATCAGAGCACAAGATGGTCTTCCCGGTCTCAATGGCCTCTGGCTACGGCAGCTACCTATGCCAGCTCTGTATCCAACGATATCCACGCCTGGTATTCCACCATCCCCACGACACTATCACAGCGGCATTTGATGCTCTTCAACGTTGAAAGGCTGTATTGTCAGATCTTGGTGGTCTCGCCCAACCAGCGTGTTCCTGCACGCAGTATGACGGATCTCAACAAAGAGCTTGTGTTCGAATACTCAGCCCAATACGCGGATCTTCTGCAACCGATCACGCAGGACGTGGGCTGGCACGCATACCTGACATTCGCGGATATCAGTCGAGCAAAATACGTGGGACAGAAGTTTGTGGAAGTGATGTGGTCGGATTTCGATCGGCTCATCAAGACGACGCATGCCATTCGCGAAGGCTCGCCTCTCGCCAACAGTGTTCCCCTAGATAATGGTCAGCGGGCGACCATCTGCCTCCAGAAGATCATTGAGATTCTCGACTTTGCACGACACCGGTGGTCTATGCCAGAGATGCGCGAGAAGTTCGAACAAGAATCGGCCGTTCTCTTCTCACGGCTGAAGAGCAGACAGCTGGAGATGGGCGCAGCGCAGTACACCAACACGGCCCATGTCAATGCTTCAACGACCGCTGGCATTGGATATAACAGTATGGCAAGCAATATCTATCCAGCTACGAATGCCTATCCATATGAAGGGTCTCAACTTCCGAGCCCTCCAATCAATCACGACCCTGTCCAACCTGATATGCAGCAACAATCGATGTTGACCCCACCAGAAGACTATCACATGCCCCCCATGTATCCGATGCCACCTGGATCCCTGCCTCGGCGGAGCTATGAGTTTTACGGCGGACGCAGTTGAGGGCAGCATTGGTCTTTGATGCCTCCGAAATTACATCAGGCTCAACTGCCTAGAAATAGTGCGGGATGACTTCTGTCGCGTGCCTCGATGCCGCGAGTCGGTCAACGGCACCAGCAGTGACAAAAGATGTGCAAGCCTCTTTTGGACCATCTTTATCCCAAACCACGCAGACCACGCAATCTTATCTCCCCTATTAGAATCCAACACCAGGGTTCAAGAAACCTAGATCACTCGGAGCGCGACCAAGGAGGGTGTCAGCTCCCGTAAAGGAGGGCAGGCGCCCAAGTCATCTGAGAGCGCGATGAAGCCCACGTGTATTGCTCGGTTCTGCTAATTGGCCTTGCAACGCCTTCACCGCACAGTCTGAGTTTTGGGTGGTTGCAGCAGTGCAGTGCCAACCTGTTCTTGAGAGAGGGGGCCAGTTGCAAGATCATGCGAAGGTTGTAAGACGGAGCGAGGGCAGAAGTCCATTCCTAAACTCCCACAGTCGATATTTATCTTGGTTCAACTCATCTACAGCGCAGTCTCACGAGGGAGCTGACACGCTGTTGTGCGGATTCAGGGCCTTGTATGACGCAATCTTGCACAATGTCCGGCTATTACTTCCAGAATCTCTCGCCCCGTGCCTGACCATCGCAGGCGCATCGCGGGGGCATCCAGTGGCTCACTAGGCCGTTGCAGGGGCGGCGGTTGGTCAAATTATTAGGCTCGCCCAGGCCAGAGGCCTCCTTCCGCAGGTGCCTGGGATTCCCAGCCAGTCGAACCGAGCTGGGTGTCGGACCCCCATTCGCTGGATGACGTGGGTTTCCCCTTGAGCCTGAACCCGTTTTTCGAGGACCTTGACCTGCGCATGAGTCTCTTGCACGTTCCACTGTGAGCGATTTCGTTCTCCATGCAAGATTTATCCGCTCCCATTCACCAGCTTCACGCTTTGTCGCTGTCTGATGAAGTTTGTTTGCACGTCCAGGTCAAGTCCATGTGACTTCCTCCAGCGTTTCAGTCATGGCCCGCGTTGCCCGTTACCTGTTGCTGCTGTTGGCAGCTCTCGTAGCGGCAGCACCTCCCAGTACTCCGTGGAACGATGATGGCCAACAACAAGTGATCGACGGGCCATCGACCTTGAGGTCGCAACCTGCACCTCGGAGGCTACGCGGGAGGTTTCTGCACATCACTGGTACTGTTTCCGCAACCCCTAGCTTCCCTAGCTGCGCTGACCTGTTGCTCCAGACCTCCATCCCGATCCTTTCTACAAACCTCATTCCGATACTGAAGAGCAATGCCATTACGGTCATGGCAGTGCCGCATATTACGGAGCAGAAACAACAGACTGTGACACACCCATTAGCCTGGTCAATGCCACCTTCAAGTGGATCGAGGCAAACCTCAAGGACGAGATCGATTTTGTCGTCTGGACCGGCGACTCGGCCCGCCATGACAACGACGACCGCCTTCCCCGGTCAGACAAGCAGGTGCTCAAGCTCAATCGATTTGTTGTAAACAAGTTCGTCGAGACCTTTGGCAAGCCGGACAACATACACGACCCGGACCCGACTAACGACTTTGTCGTCCCCATCGTGCCTACTTTTGGCAATAACGACATTCTCCCCCACAATATCTTCACCGCCGGGCCCAACAAGTGGACGCGGACCTACCTGGATGTCTGGGAGCCGTTTATCCCACAGGCACAGCGCCATTCATTTGCAAGAGGTGGCTGGTTCTTCACGGAAGTTATACCTAATAGACTGGCAGTATTTAGCCTCAACACCCTATACTTCTTCGACTCGAACTCGGCAGTCGATGGCTGCGACTTGAAGTCAGAGCCAGGTTACGAGCACATGGAATGGCTTCGAATCCAACTGCAATTCCTCCGCGACCGAGGCATGAAAGCCATTCTCATCGGTCATGTCCCTCCAGCCAGGACTGAGAGCAAACAAAACTGGGATGAAAGCTGTTACCAAAAGTTTACCTTGTGGATGAGACAATATCGAGATGTGATCATCACCTCGATCTTTGGACACATGAACATCGATCATTTTATGTTTCAGGACGTCAAAGAACTGCATTACAAGTTCAAGATTGAAGGCATCGACGATGGACCCAATAAGATCCAGCGCTTCAAGTCGCAACCAGACAACACCTTCTCCCTCGCCGCAAAGGCACAATACTTGAATGAACTGAGGTCAGGCTGGTCAGAATTACCCACACCACCAGCTGGACATTCATATCTGCGTATGGGTGGCGAGGAAGTATCCAACAACACTGTCGATACTCGAAAGAAGGATGAGGAGAAGGAACTCGCGAAGTTTCTAAAGGCCATCGGTGGACCTTGGGGGGAGAGATATAGCTTGACATTAGTGTCTCCGAGCGTTGTTCCCAACTTCTTTCCTACTCTTCGAGTGGTGGAGTACAACATTACAGGGATGGAGAATGACCACCCAGCCCAAGGCGCGATTGGAAAACCTGCGGTCGAACACCATGTCGACGGCTCGGCGAATCGGGAAGAGGTCTCTGAGGAGACAGAGGAAGATGAGTCTGACAACGATGTCGACACAAATAACGATATCCACGATCTTAAGAAGAAAAAGAAAGGTAAAAAGAGGAAGAAGAAGCCGAAGAAACCCAACTTTCCAGTGCCCAAACCACCATCCAGTTCATCTCCTCCTGGTCCGGCATATTCTCCACAGCCGCTGTCTCTGGTATCGTTGACGCAATATTACGCCAATCTGACTCGAATCCACGAGCAGATGCACCAGGACAAGTCGTCCAACAAAGATCCTTACAAACACTTCGCATACTTTACCGAGTACACAACAAAGAACGACAGCGCCTATCGAATACAAGACTTGACCGTGCGGTCGATGCTGGATCTGGCCGAGAGAATGGGACGAGACAGCCTGAAGCTGAGTGATGAAGACCTCGAGGATGTGGAGAGAGATGTTGATTTGTCCAAGAACAAGGGTGACAAGCACAAGACAAAAACTCGCAAGAACCATCTATGGAAGGTGTTTATCAAACGGGCTTTTGTGCACACGAAGCCTGACGATGAGATCGACCAGCGGTTTGGCTCAATGTCTGGCTTGGAAGAATAGCCAGGCAGCACCAATACTGTTTTTCCCCCCTCGGTGGGCCATGTCTTATCCTTCTCTCAATGTACGATCAGTCATGTTATGAGCCAACGACTGCTGTTTCCACTATGTTGCTGGATTCGGGAGAGGTCTTTGGAACCGGGACAGGATAGTGACCCGACGAATTACGATGTAATGGAGAATGTAGTTGATTTTTCTGCTGACGTCGGGCGTATACATTATCACGAGTGTGGATGTTTTATTTTTGTATAAGAGATACATGATGATTGCAGGCGGCAACAGCGACAATGATGGCGACGACGAAACTGCGGGGTCTGTGAGTAACTGGGTAGACATGACAAGGCATTATTTGTCTACTAATTACCCCATCAGATTCTATATATCTCGTACACTCTCGTGTTTTACTCTTTGCGTCTTTGCGTCTTTCTGAGCCCGTTTGTTGTTCTTGATCGGGTCTGACCGACATTTCCAACTCTCCTGGTTTTCTCCAGCTCTATATTGTCAAGAGATGTGAGGTGGTGAAAAGGATGATCCTTACGGCTCTTCTTCGTCTTTGTCCCCTCTGTACCTCGTAAGGAAAGGAAAACCCTGCACGGCCCGTTCAAGACGAGAAAGGACGCCCGTCGAATGCGCTTCCTTTCCACCACGTCTACTCCAGGTTGACATCTAAGCTGTGCCTCCGTCAAATGGCTACTCCCAACTCTTCTGCCGCGCAAGCGGACACTCCGTATGCTACACGCCCTTCCACCCTGGCCGACCACCCGAGCTTGCAGCCAGCGTTCCACCTCACGATCGTCATCGGCGCCGCCACGCCCATCGGCTCGCTCTCGCGGGGCACGCCGCTGACGGTTGTACCCCTCGTGTCCGGAAGCTTTGTGAGCGAGCCGGGCTTTCCTGTGAGGGTGGACGCGAGGTTACGGGGCCAGGGGGTGGATTACGTGCACAATGACCCGGACGGAGGGCGGATGCGGTTGAGGAGTGATTTGATTGTTGGGTGAGTGCCTTTTTCTCATTCTACCGTCGAGGACATCTGTCGAGAGAAGGCTGATTGGATGCCCTTTTCTCGCGAGGAATGCCAGAGATCAGAATGGAGAGGTCAGTTTCTTTGCCTGCCCAAGTGGTCCATCTAGGATTTCCTCAACGCTGTGTGCCCCTGGCCACAGTTGAGGAGTACGTCGGGAGAGCGTATAACTGACCACCAGGTCTCCTTTTGGAGGCGCTGCAGACTATACACATCCACTACACCGGAATAGTTGATATTACGAACGAGATGCGCCGAATCCTCGGGCGCAGCGTCAATGCCAGGTCCACAGACTTTGGCCATTCCTGTACGTCTCGAAGCTTTTACCCATTTTCCTTTTTCCAAGTCGAACGGGGCACACCGCCGGTTCTTTCACTGACCGGTTCGATGTTGTGTTGATGCGTTTGGTGCTGATTTGATGCTGACCTTTGGCATCCCTCTTGGGGTTTGTGCTTGGTGGGAAAAAGTCATACAGGTGTCGTTTGAGACTGGATCGATGCGGTACAAGGCTCTGGAACAGGCGCTCTTTGTCGGTGCTGGTAGATTTATCGTGGGAGAAGGCAGGCTCACCGTTGAGTACCGCATCAGTAAGGTATCTAAAGGTCTAGGGCCTGCTGGCGGCGAGGTCGGTGGGAGTGGTGATGGTGACGCTGGAGGGGAGGGAGCAAGTCAGGACGACTGACGGGCTATCCAGCCCGCTCACTCAGTCATGATGCGTTACTTGTTAGATATCAGGGTAGTAGAACAGAACATGTGCCTTTGTAATTCCAAATCGCATCATACAAGCAATGGCGTCGTCTCGTCTGTTGCTGCTCTACCACCGCCACCACCAGTATCCCTCCGTCTCTGTACGTCTGTCGCCGTACTCGTAGCAGCATCCCTACTCTCGCCGCTACCGCTCCTCGTCCACACCACCATCCACCGCCCCTGCTTTCTCCCCCTCCACTTCCTCCCAGCCCACCTCCCGGCCCTCACGCCCGCCCAGATCAAGCACAGGCCCAACAACGTCGCCAGCACGGCGACCACGACACTCACAAACGTCATGCTCGAGCACCGACAGCTGAATGGTCGGGCGCGCAGTTCCCACCGCTCGCGCCACCCCAGGGGACAGAGGTCGGCGGTCTTGAGGGGCGAGAGGATCCCAAACGGATACGGATAGACCGTGTTGGGGACGCAGGTCTGCGACGTGGCGCACCAGGAGCACGGGTACGGGTTCGACGCGGACAGGCATGCCGGGCAGTGCGGCCGGATCCAGCAGTGGAAGAAGAGGTCGAGGTCGCTGTCGCCTGGGATGGTGGAGGTGTTGTGGGCCGTGCTCAGCAAAGAGGCGATATGGGGTGGGAGATTCTGGGTGTTGGTGAGGTCGAGATGTGTCATTTTTCTTTGAAGAAGAGGTTGACTTTGCGATGTAAGGTCTGGGAGTATGTTCGAGTTTATCTCTGAATTGTGTCTTTACTCCTGGTATGATACAGTATCTGTTCGAGAGATACCTATGTAGTAGGTGGTTGGGAGATGGGAAAAAGGCAACGTGAAAAATAATGAAATGTCAAAAAGCATTTTCATGTCGAGCACCACATTGTGCAAAGAAATATCCTCTAGCGGTTGTAATGACACCAAGTATCATCTCCCTGGTGCTCTGTGAGGCATTGAGGGCGGTTGCGGGGTACAGCAGGGGAGGAGTATTAAGGCTCTCACCACATCCTACGTATCTAGGTCGGTACCAGGCCACCGCCGCTGCACAAAGCTATTATCTTGTTACCTGTACCTGGTTGTAAACCTCCGAGGTCTCACAGACACCAGTCGGTTCTTCGATGCTGTCAAACACCAAATGTGACACGCCTCACTTCGCCGTCCGCCGATCAGGCTCACCCAATTCATGCCATGGCTCTTCCGCGTAGCCTTCCAATCTCACTCTCACAGATGCTTATGCTTCTTTGAAAGCCATCCATCCTCGTGTGTCTCGTCACCGCCATCATGTCTCGTGGTGAATTTACAGACAAGTGGCTTACAAAATGCCGCCCGGGGAAACCATTGCTCGAGGCCTGGATCCTGTCCGCCATTATCGTCTCCATCTCCAATACTCTGGCGCAAGCCATCGATGCTTACAAAAAAGAGGTACTTGTGCACGCCTGTTTTCCCTCTCACTGTCTCATCATCGCATCGAGACCAGGTAAGAAAGAGAATTAACGAGACCGTCCTTTTTCAGGAGGCGTTTGAATTCGATCTCGCTCGTCTCTTGAGATTTCTCTGCCTCGACCTCATCACCGCGCCACTGAACTACAAATGGCAGGAGTTGCTCGAGAGATCATTTCCCCGACACGCGACCGCCCCGTCGCGCGAGGAGTATCGCTCGATCCCGCTTGATGATCGTGATGTGGAAAAGGACTCCAACACAGACGAAATGGACGATGACCACGAGCTCACGATCGCCGAGGGCTCCGTTTCGCGGCACCATCATCAACAAAAGCCCAAACGGAGGAGGAAGAAAAGAAAGATCTCGACGAGGAAGAACTGGAAAAACATCTGGATCAAGTGGTTCATAGACTGCATCACCCTGGGCGCCATCTTCAACACGGTCGCGTTCCTGGTCATCATGGGGCTCCTGAACGGCCAACCCGCCAAGATCTTGCACAATCTGCGCACCAAGACCATGATCATCATTGTTAATGGGTACAAGATATGGCCCTTTGCCAACATCATCGCACACAGTGTCATTTCCTTTGAACGGCGGATCCCGTTCTTCGCGACCGTCGCGCTGTGTTGGAATGTCTACTTGAGTTTGGTGGCGGAGAGACTCTAGAGGGGTCTTTCGGTGTTGCCAGACTCGGTAGGTGGGCGCAAGGGGACCCAGAGCTACATAACTCGGTATATACGAGGTAGAAGTGCGAGATGGTCTGGACAGCTGATTCTTGGCGTTTATGTATCCCGACTGCCACGGAAGAATGGGATTTGTTCAAGAATACACCCTTCAGGCCTTTCATGATCGAGTGCCCCTAATTATGTGTCGCCAATGTGTGACTTACAAGGCTGTTGGAGATGAGGACCCGGGCTTTCGTGGGTCTCCCAAACACCTGTGGTTGGGTTGGGGGGATTCATCAATCGACCATTCTCCAACTAAGGCAACTCATCGCCCATCCAACCATCTCTTATGTCCGTTGCCCGTATTAATAATATGTATGCCCGCGAATTTGATCCTCGTCGGGTAGGGTAGAATAGTTAAATAGTTCCCCCTTTTCTACTCGTATGCATGATCAAGTCGATACGACAAGACGACCTCTGAGAAATATTCTGTCAGCGTCGAGGGTGAAAATTTACTTCTATATCCGCACCGGATATCGGACGTCAGTCTCTGAAAAGACGTGGTTGGGGTCAGATCTGAAAGACACGGAGTGAGGTTTGAGGTTGAGAGTGTGATTGAGAGTTCGACGGTTAGGGAAAAGTCATGGCGTCTTCCACTCCCACAACCACAGCTGGATATCGAATAGACCTTACGGCCGGCAACTTCGATGGCCTCAAACTGGAGACTTCGATGCCCATCCCATCCCTGGGCCCACATGACTGCCTCGTGGCCATGCGCGCCGTCTCACTAAACTATCGGGACATTGCCATGCCGCTCAGGATATACCCCGCCTACACCCGCGAAGATGTCGTGCCGTGCTCAGACGGGGCCGGCGTGGTGGTCGCCGTGGGCAGCGGGGTCAAGTCCTTCGCCGTCGGGGACAAGGTATGTCCCACCTTCTTCCAGGACTTTGAGGACGGGTACCCAACCAAGGAAAGTCGGGCGACGAGTCTGGGAGGATTGAACGACGGGGTGCTCCGGAGACACGCCGTCTTTGCCGAGCGCGGGTTGATCAAGGTGCCTGGATTTCTCAGTGCGCGAGAAGCGAGCACCCTGCCCTGCGCCGCGTTGACGGCGTGGAATGCCCTTTTCGGCGTCGAGGGACGCGCTTTGAAGCAGGGCGATTGGGTTCTAACCCAGGGGTCTGGGGGTGTCAGTGTCTTTGCCCTGCTGTTCGCGAAGGCACTCGGTGCGCATGTCGTCGCTACGACTGGCGACCGGGGAAAGGAGCAGAGGCTACGGGATCTCGGAGCAGACCTGGTGCTCAACTACCGCGAGGATCCCAACTGGGGCGTCGCTGCGCGCGAGTACATCGAGAAACAGGGCGGCACGGGAGCTCAACACATCATCGAGGTCGGGGGCGAGACGTCCATGGAGCAGAGCCTGAAAGCCGTGGCGCCCGAAGGCATCATCTCCATCATCGGATTTCTCGGCGGCTCAGGGACTTCGGAGAGGAAGACGGGGTTCTGGGACTGTTTCGCCAGCGCCTGTCTCGTCAGAGGCGTGCTCGTGGGCAGCAAGAGGCAGTTTCGAGAGATGCTCGCTTTCATGGAGGAGAAGGGCGTGAGGCCCGTGGTTGACGAGCAGGTCTGGGGGTTCGAGCAGGCCAAGCAGGCGTATGAGTATCTGCGGGCGCAAAAGTTCTTTGGTAAAGTGGTGATTGAGATTGAAGCATGGTAGAAACAGGCATCAAGCGAGAAAGGGGGGACTGGACGGAGAGTTGGACGGCAAGAGTATAGATTGGGCTCTGTATACCATAGCAAGCAGCACTACTATTCACAGGACTAGATAAAGTGTGCGGAGTGGAAGAAAAGGACGAAGCGGAATATTGTTTTTCCTCTTCCAACTGTGTGGAACCAGGTTAGCCAACGTCATACGTCATTTTCTCTTCTTGTCATTTCGTCTTTTGATCACTTCAACAGTTTGCACCTTATTGATGCCATACCTAATACTCAACAGAGCACGTTTCAGAGGTTTAGCTTACACATCGAGCTCCTCTTTGAGAGATATTTCCCTCCTGGGAGCTACATTTCTACAAAACATGCCGCTACAGGGACAAGCACGTCACCTTTTACTGCGTTCTCGCTCTCATTTTGCCTGACTGGGGAAAATCCCGCGAGCAGCCGCTTCGAGATGCTTCGTCGAATTCGTCGGTCTTTGCCGCTACCGCCGCTACAAGCGAGAATAGAATAAAGCCGAAGCGATGCCGCAGCAGTACCGCGAGTACAAGTAGCTCGACAAATACAAGAGTAGGGGACATGAACAAGTGAAAAGTGCAACAGTTGAGACCTTTTCGAACCTCGTTTGAGCTCCTCTCGTCGCTCTCACACATTGAGTTCATATCCAGCACTCCGGACGAGATACCCAGAGTCTAGAGGACCATGGCAGACTCTCAAGAAGAACAGCCCCATCAAGGCACATCCCCCAAGCTCTTTAAACCTGTCGAAGCCTTTCTGAAGGAAATTGGCCTCGTAACCCTCTACCACTCTCCCCTCGACACCAAAATCCTCATCTTCCAGCGCTTCGTCCGCCTCTTCGCCTACGGCGGGTCAACGTTGATCCTCGCCTCGTACCTCTCTGACCTAGGCAACGAAGATGCCCGCATCGGCTTGTTCATGACCCTGACTCTGATCGGGGATGTCTTTATTTCGTTCCTACTGACCCTGGTCGCCGACCAATTGGGCCGACGGTGGATTCTTGTCCTGGGAGCCGCATTGATGTCGGCCAGTGGCGTGGTATTTGCTCTGAGTGGAAACTATTGGGTTCTGTTGGCCGGGGCCATTCTAGGCGTAATCAGTCCTGCGTAGGTTCCGTGATGCTGTCCTTCACTCCCTCCCTCGAATCTCTGTTGCTGATGGTGTTTCTCATTCTAGAGGTAATGAAATCGGACCTTTCCGCGCGATTGAGGAGTCCACCATCGCCCATCTGACTGCCAGTACCGATCGCAGCGACATCTACGCGTGGTACTCGCTGATAGGAACTGCCGGGACAGCATTGGGGTTCATTGGATGCGGCTGGCTCATTACGCTGTTGCAAGAGAGAAAGCACTACGGCTCTATCCAGGCATATCGCGTCATCTTCTTCATCTACGCGTTTGTCGGGATTATCAAGCTGTGCTTGGCCCTCTTGCTGAGTAGAGAATGCGAGGTGGATGCTCAGCCAAAGTCCGCCAATACCACCGAGACGGCGCCTTTGCTGGGTAATGACCGCGGCACGCAGAACAAAGACGACGATATTCAGAAGAAGCGACGATGGAGACTCCTCCCTGATATCAGCAAGGAGAGCAAAGTTGTGTTGGTCCAGTTGTGTATTCTGTTTGCCTTTGACAACTTTGCTTCTGGACTGGCGCCATTGTAAGTGCCTGAAATGAAGATTTTCTTCGACGTTGGCTAACAACTACAGATCATGGGTGACCTACTTCTTCAAGCGAAAGTTCAACCTGCCAGAGGGCAAGCTGGGATCGATATTTTCCATTACTGGCATCATCTCGGCGCTATCCATGCTCGTGGCATCCTCCATCTCGAAACGGATTGGGAAC